GCCCACATCGTATTTCTCTTTGAGGCTCGTTGGGAGCCTACCAGCGGGTCCTACACGTGGCAGCTGTGTGATAATGATCTGTTCATTTAGTCAACTATGTTGACTGATTGCTTGATTTATAACTGGAAAAGCCTGGGAATGGCCTGTGGGGCAAGAGAAGAAATGTGTTTTCAATGCCTTAATGTGCCAGGCTCTCACTAAATGATTTCGGACTTTATCTTACTTCATTCTCTCAACAGCCACACAAAGCCAATGTTATTTACCCTTGTATGGCTGCAGACAGGGAGGTTCAAAGGAGGTAAGCAACTTGCTCAAGATCACAGCCCGGAACGGCTGTTCAGTTTCACTTGCTAAAGAACAGGAGTGTGACGGTGCAATTGTGTGCCCATGTGCAGAAGTGTGCACGGGGAAAGGTTAACCGCTGACTCCGAGTGGTTCCCTCAGACATACTGGCAGCAAAAACATCTCCTGTTGCACACATCCAAGGTCAGGCAGCTGCAGTATCTCAGAGTTCAGGAAATAAGCTCCAAGAATGCAATCAGTCTAAGAAGACGTCTTCAGTTCATCATCCCATCTTGTATTTCTTTTTGTTTTATAAAATGTTGCCAACTAAATAAAAGTTTAGGTGGGAAACTCTAGTTATGTACCCTAGGTAAATAATGAGGTAGGGTTAGGTATCCTAGGTGACACTCATGGGCAACCTGATGCCCATGAGCGATGGGTATAGAAAGTCACCGTGAGGCAGAGTGAATGTCCTTCCAGAGGAGGCCGTGGGAGGCCTTAGAATTCTCTGCTCCAAGTTCTCCCCTTTAATTCTTCCACACCCCAAATTTCACAACTGTTGTTTCCCTTCCTACTTTCCTTAACATCCACTCAATTGTTTCTTTTTACAAAGTTTTAAAAAATATACTTTGCATTTAACAAATATATTTATGCTGTGCATGATAAATTCTTCAGTAATATTAATTGATGAATGACTAAAGACTATGTGCCTTCCCCACACCTGTATCAATATAATGATGCAAGATAACATGGCTTGGTCTATTTGCTCCCTTTCAAATGGTCTCCCCATCGTATACTTTTTGCCAAGACCAATTCCTACTCAGCTGTCAGTGATCGAGTGATGTTGCATTAAAAAGCTGGGCAATTTTGGGTCAAGGAAAAGTGAGTTGGGTAGCTCTAAAGGGAAAGGCAGCAACCTCCCAAACCAGCTCCTTCATCGTTGAAGTCAGGCTGCCCTCTTGAGAACGCAGTCCCCCAACTCTTCTAAGCCACCTGCTCACTGCCTGGCTGGACTCAGCCCCCCTGTTCTTACCTAGACTACACTTCTTCCCCTATGGTAAAGGTGAGCATTCTTACAGACTGGGAGGAAGAGCTATGGGAACTAAGACTGTGGGGAGCAGCACAGGTGAAGGACGACCACAAGGGCCCCCGCGCTGCGGTCAGGCACCAGACAGAGCCAGGGCAGCTGGGCCATCAGGACCCCAGTGAGCGGCCTGGGTGAGAGAGACCACAAGCCAGCCCCCTATGGAACATGGCTGTGACTCCAGAGAAGGCACGCTGGGACTATCCTTGACCTTCTGTCCCTCCAGGGTGGCCTGGAAAATGGGCCACAGCCCAGAGCTCCTGGGTGTCCTCTCTGGTCCCGACATCTCACCCATAGTGCATCCCTGCAGGCCACGGCCTCAGCCAAGAAGGGGTGGACAGACTCTGGGCGGTGGACTCCCCTGAGCTCAGTATTCATGAAGGAAGAGTGGCCACTGCTCAGCAGACCAGACCCCTCCTCTCTGTCCACCTCTCCTCACGTGTGGGGATGAAAACAGCCCCTCCAACCACTCATTTCAGACAAGCAGCATAGAGAGTCTTTTCAGAGACTGACACTCACTCTATCTCCGAAGTTCCACCTCCACTGCCTGCTCTGGTGAACTTTAACCTGAAGTTTCTTCGAATTCTGCTGGCCTTCCATGATCTGGTCCCATTCACACGAGGCAGCTGATCCAAACTCACATTAATCCTCTGGGAGGAAAAATACCTTCCTCATATGCCCAAAGTTCATCGCTTTGAAGTTATACGGTTACAGAAACTCTTCCAAAAACCTATGTTATGTCTGAGGACTCTCTGAAATGTAAATAAAATGAAGATGCATAAACATAAAACAGTTAATACCTGAGCCCACGGTCTCTGAAGATCCAAAAAGTGCAGCTTGCACAGCTTTTCAAGATAAGATACAGGGTAAATACCACAGACCCGCCCCTCTGCCCCCTGTCAAAAGCGGGGCGTGGGGAGGGAGCAAAATGGAGCATGAGATTTACTTCCCCTGACCCATAAACAATTAATTAAGTAATGATCTAATCATGCATCTCCTTTAAACAGGTACCAAATGTCTCTGGAGACAGACAGCACAGGGAACAGAGCCTGCATGCCCTGCCCCGCAGGCAACACTCCTCACTAAGCCATTCTGGAGATGTGAGATGCAGCAGGATTTAATTCATACTCAACATTGGAATAAAGTTTTATTGAACACAGCCAGGTCCATCTGTTTCTTTACCTTCTATGGCTGCTTTTGCACTAAAAGGGCAGTGTTGATTAGTTGTGACAGAGACCATATGGCCTACAAAGTCGAAAATGTTTACTACTTGGTCCTTTACAGAAAATGTTTGCCAACCCCTGCTCTACATGATTCTTTAGACACAAGGAGGCTTTGGAATGCTCCCAACTGTGGGCACCAAAACTCATCTACTGGGCATCACTCCTCCCCTACACCTCGTGGTTGAGCCAGTCCTCAAAAACACACAACAGGCATGCCACATCTCTATGGTGCTTCCACCGTGGTCCAGAAGGACTAACACTGCATTACCGCCCAGCTGAACTGTCTCAAGCACGTTGGGGAACCAAAATCAAAGTAAGGTGGAGTGCGATGCAAACCTGGTTAGCCTATGTTCTGTTGCTTTCTTTTCTAGAAAGGCAGGACCACCTTGTCACCAAGAGGTCCTCTCCAAATCACCTGCTGTCTCTGGCCTCCTGGCCTTCTGCCCTTCCTCTATAGGGTGTACTTAGGAAGAAATGTCCAATGTCCAGCTTACACAAATGGGATGATCAAGGCAGACTAAACAACAGAAGTGTCTGCTCAAGCAGAAATTAAAATCTAAAGTCTTAGAGGTCCCTCCGCAGTTGGCACACACTGAACTCAGCCTCTTGGCCTCGTTCCTTTATCTAAAGCACAGCGCCCTCACATGGTGCCAAAGGGAAGGACAGTCTTCCTGAAAACCTGGAGGACGGAAGGGAACTCTCACTGCTCAGATGCCATCTGTGAGAGGGCCCAGTACTCACTCTGAGGATTTTAAATCAATGTTATCCAGATTTCCACCCTCGGCTCCTTCACAGATAGCGCCTTGCTGGAAACTTTACACCAAGAAGTATAAACTCTGACCTCTACAGAAACTCACTAAACCGCAGCAAATGGGATTCAGATGTTTCCATGTTCAGTACAGTGATGTGACCTAGACTTTAAACACTTTGGCAAAAACAGGAAAAATGATGTGGGCCTTCCAGTCCCTCCCAGAACATGATACAGCCTTGACCCGAGTCCTTCAGTGACCTGAGCCTTTTTCACCCCTACTTAAGCCTCCTCACCCATAGCCCACATTCCCCGCCCCTGTTCCACATTAGCTCCTACTAGGCCCCCTCCACGGTCCATTTTCCTTGTTTAAGCAAAGAAGCCAATTTCTCCCAGCCCAGCAAAAGGAGATCACATTCTGATGAGGACTCAAAAAATCCTAAAAGGGGAACTGGTGAAGGCCAAGTCTTGGGAATTACTTCCCAAGTTCCCCTACACTGCTGGAAAGAGAGCAGAAGTCTCATATAAAGACTTGGACCCTCAGGGTTTCTGGCTTTGTTGCAGATTCGTGCCAACTTGTTGCACACTATGTGGATAAGAGCTAGAGAATTCTAGACGGTGGAGCAAGATAAGGTGGAGGTGGGGGAAGCAGTTTCTTGTGCCAGGGAAGCACAGACACAAAAGAATATCAGAAACCACTTCCCCAGAAGATAGAGGAACATTCTCTGAGCCCATCCCAGGCTCTGACGGGTGGGGGCAGCCCATCTGCCAGCCATCTGCGCTCTATGGGGGCACGATGGAGAAGCTGGGAAGTGTTTGTCTGGGCACCAGTGTAGCCAAGTGAGCCAGTGTGAGCACAGGCAGGGTAGAGGCGCACAAGAACTTCCTCCACCCCTCGGAGCACTGCCACGGGTGCTGCAAATGCAGCAGGGTGGGGTGGCGGAGGAATTACTGCCACATTGAGGGAGCTTCTGGGGATGACATTGTTCATCACCAATGTAAGCATTCCTCAGGCCTGGCTGAGGGTGAGTGCCAGACAAATGTCTGCTTGCAGTATAAGGTAAAAATATTAGAGACACCCTCCCTCTCCTGGTTCTCACGTTTCAACTAAGAAGAGTAGGTTAGTGGCCCGTCGGGGGACCCCTCCAAATATACTTTTCCAGGTACATAAAGACTCAAAAGGACAGAAAGGAGGTCAATGCTCCATCCCCACATCCAAAAACAGGTGAGCTATACACATATAGATAAGTGTTCCTCATGACACGCACACATACACACCTGTGCAGATGCAAATAGCGTTCTCTCTACACCTGGGTCAAGCGCACCTCTCAGTCTAGGGGCTTGACGGATTTCATCTCTGCTGAACATGTGCTCCCTGGGCGGGCTGCGGCGTATCTCGCTATGCAACCCCATATCGGCGCTGGCCTGGCGCACCTCTGAGGCTTAGGACGGCCAGTGGAAGGTACTGGATAACAGGTCGCTTCCCCTTTCTAGCCCTCTGCTCATAGACCCTCTGGAAGGTTGGGGGTGCTCTCTCCCGCCAGCGGCAGAGCACGCCGGAGGCCCCACCCCAATCCCAGCCCTCCCAGGGAACCACCCCTCACCCCCACCCTCGGCGCCGCGACAGATCGCCAGGCAGACCCGGAGGGGGAGCGAGCAGTACCAGGCCGCCGGCGGCGCCGCAGGCGCTAAGCGAGACGAAAGAGCCGGGGTAGCCGAGCACGCTGCCAGAGTAGAAGCACAGCTCTGTGGGGCGTCCGCGGCGCCCGGCTGCGCCGGTCTCCTCCACCTCGAAGCCACCGGACAGGAAGCGCAGGTCACGGCGCAGCTGCAAGTACAGGTCGCGCCCAAAGGCCGGCAGGTGCAGCAGCAGGGCGCGCTCGCCGGGCCGGGCGCGCGGGACGGCTGGGGGCGCGCGGGGGCGCCGGCGCCTGCGGGGCCCTGGAGCGCCGGGCAGCGGCGGCAGGTGCACGTCTTCCGGGAGCACCCGCCGCGGGAGCACCACCTCCACGTCGGCCGCCGCGTCGCCGACAGCTGCGGGGAGAAAGGAGACGCGTCAGCGCGGCGGGGCCCGCCCTCCGGCCCGCCGGGCGCAGGGTCCAGCGCTGGGCATCCAGCTCCAGCTCGGAGACAGCGCGGCCCCGAGCCGGCGCGCTCTTCCATTCCCTCGCCCCAGCACCTCCATGCCAGCCAGAGCCTCCGCCCGTGCCCCGCGCCACCGCCGGAACGGTCTCCGGCGCGGCCGCCCGACCACCTCCGGGGACGCGGCCGCGGCATCGGCGTCCGGAGAACCGGCGGCGGCGCGGCCTCCCGGCAACCGCCCGGAGCCCAGTCCTCCGGCCGCGGCCCGCGCCCACTCGACCCCGGAGCTGTCAGCGGTTTGCCGCCGGAGCCGGGCCGCGCGGGCAGGCGGAGGCCGCCAGGATGCCTCCGGAGGGCAGGGGGAAGGTGGCCGCGAGAGGCACAGGCGAAGAAGAGGCAGTGGGAGAGGGAGCGCTACCTGTGCCCGGGTCCAGTCCCCAAACCAGCAGCAGCAGCAAGGGCAGGACGAGAGGAGGCAGCAGGGCGCCGTCACACATGGTACTTGGGAGGAGTAGCCCCCCCCTCCCCGGACGGTCGCGGCGGAGTAGGAGCGCGCGAAGCGGCGGCGCCAGCCGGAGTGAGCCCTCCAGTCTTTGGAAAAAGTAATTAGCGCTGCGGACAAACCCAACGTGGTAAATCCCAAGCCCCGCCTTCTCCTCGGAAAGCGGGAGGTGATTGGACTCTCGCTTTCCCCTGCCCCGCCTCCCCCTTCTCTATTGGCTAATGTGGGTCTAAACCAGGGTGCGTAGTTAGGTTGCAAGCACTTTCTTACACGTGGTTTCTGGGCAGTGGCGGGGATGGGACACCAGGTGGCGCAAGGGAGCCGTCTGGAGCAGCGCGATCCCAGAGGACCCGGGAAGACACCTGGCTGGTCTTCAGACTTTGTCCCCATTTTCGAAACCCTCTCTGATCCTGCTGCTCAGCTTCCCAAGAAGACAGGCCACAAATCGTCCTAGCCAATCGAGTTCACCCGTAAAAGCACCTTCTCTGCATCTAAAGTAAAACCAGTTTTGGTTGTTTGTGGGTGGGCACTTTCATGCACAATGTGCACAACTTTGCGCCGGATGCTACCTCCAAAGCGCAGTGTTTATGCAAACCCTTCACACCTCTGTCGTCTTTATTCTCACGGCAGCCCGTGGAACAGGCGAGATCACACCCTCTTACAGACTGAGAAACTGAGGGAGAGAGAGCTTAAGGAGCTTACTAAGTTACCCAGTGAGTTTCTGTCAAAACAAGAGCTAGAATTTGTGGTCCAGATTTCTGGCCCGGTGCTGCTCGCTACAAACAAGAGCCCTCCAAGGCAGGCAAGAAGGAACATTAGCCCGGTGTTACAGGTTAGGAAACGGGCACAAAGTGGCAAAGGCCGGACTCAAACCCAAGTCTTCTGGCAACAGAGTGAGTTCATTCTTTTCCTACCAGGGTATAACTGAGGTCTGCAAGAAAGGTGATTCCCTTAGCTTCCTGAGGAACGTCTTGTAGAAAACAAAACAAAACAGAATGAACTGAAGTGGTCGCTCCCCTTCCTTCCCTGTCCTGCCCGTTTCTGTTTTCTCAATGCAGAGGGGCTACAGCACTCCTATTGGACTCTGCTGAGGGCCTCTCAGAATCTAAAATTCATCACAAGGATTACGTGTCATCAGAAGGAATCCAGAGGTGAACACTGTCCAGCTTTCATGACATTTAATCAACCCTAGGAGTGGACTGTGTCACTGATTCTCAATAAAGCCTAGCACTCTCACTACTGCAAACTTGCTGCTCTGTGTTTCCCTGGGGTGTGGCTGGTGGAATCATTTCCTGCTCTGTCGACCCCACCCTCCACTGCTCCAGGGGCTGCCACTCACTGCTGGGCATCTAAAGTTCCTGGAAGCCTCCACACACGTCCTGCTCATGGACAGGTTTGGGTCTTTTTTCCTCTCCTTTGACAGCAGCCTCAGCCAACTGAAATTTCAGCAGCATCTTCTGGTGGCACAAGATATCATGGTGAGCTTTTTGGTGTAGGTTTGTTGGCCAAAGAGCCACCTCAAAGGCCTGCCACTGAAAGCCAGGGAGTAGCAGCCCCACTGCCTCGCAAGAACAATTTTGCTATTGGATTCCGCCTGAAGTAATAGTCATCAACCTATCAGATAGATGATGCTCAAATGCATTAGTCTGTAGGGACACACAAACTGAAACAACAGCAAGATGCCATTTCATCTTCCGGCCTGTCCAAAACTAAAGAGCTTGGAAATATCAAGGATTGGAGAGGACACTCTCCTGCCCATGGGTGGGGGTGTAAATTGGCACGGCCACTTTGAAGAACAAGTGGGCAAACTGCAGTCAAGTTTAAAATGTACACACCCTAGAACTCTGCTATTCCACTCTTGTTAACTAACACAGTTAGTGGTAGTTAGCAAGAGTGGAATAGCAGAGTTAACTGGCATGTGTAGAAGAATGCTCACCACAGCACATTATTAAGAGCAAAAAACTGCAAAAACCTGAATGTTAATCATTAGATAAATGGCTAATTGAGTCCAGAAATAAACCCATGCATAGACAATCAACTAATATTTGACAAGGTAGCCAAAAATACTCAAGGAAAAAGGGTAGTCTCTTTAATAAATGGTGGTGGGAAAACTAGATACCCATATGCAAAAAAAAAAAAAAGAACTTGGACCCCATCTTACACCACTCACAAAAAAAAAAACACAAAAACTTGAAATAGATTAAAGATAAATGTAAAACTTGAAACTGTAAAATGTGTAGAAGAAAACAAAGGGAAAAATCTCCTTGACATTGGTCTTTGTAACAATTTCTTAGATGACAACAAAAGTGCAAGAAACAAAGCAAAAATCAACAAATGGGACTATATCAAATCTAAAAGTTTCTTCATAGCAAAGGAAACCATCAACAAAATGAAAAGTCTACCTACAGTATGGGAAAAAATATTTACAGACCATATATCTGATAAGGAGTTAGTATCCAAAATATATAGGAAATTCATACAACTCATTAGAAAAAATAATAATAATCCAGTTTAAAAAAGGGAAAAGAACCTGAATAGACATTTTTCTAAAGAAAATGTCATACAAATGGCCAACAAGTACATGAAAAGGTGTTCAAGATCACTAATCATCACGGAAATGTGAATAAAAACCACAATGAGATATCACCTCAAACCTTTTAGGATGTCTATTACCAAAAAAACAAGAGACAACAAGTGTTGGCAAGGATGTGGAGAAGAGGGAACTCTTGTGCACTTTTGGAGAGAATCTAAATTGGTGCAGCCACTATGAAAAGCAGTATAGAAAAAAATATTCCATGGTACTACCACATGATCCAGCAATTCCACTTCTGGGTGTATATCTGAAGGAAGACATTAAACTAAGTTAAATAAGTCAGTCACAAAAAGACAAATACTGTATGATTCCACTTATATGAAGTACCTAGAGTAGTCACTTTCATAGAGACAGAAGAGAGAATGGTGGGTACTAGGGGCTGGCAGGAGCAGCAGCAAGGATTTAGTGTTTAATGGGTACGAAGTTTCAGTTCGGGAAGATGAAAAAGCTCTGAAGACGGATGGTGGTGATGGCTGCACAACAATGAGAATGTACTTGAAGCCACTGAACTGTACACTTCAAATGGTTTAAATGGTAAATTTTATGTTATGTACATTTTCCCACAATAAAAAAAATTGCTTAAAAAAGGAAATCATTACTATTTGCTATGATCTCATGTCATCATAACACACAAATTTCCTGGTCTTAATTTTGTGGAAGGGCAGGACTTAATCTCATTTCACAGATGGAGGAGGGCTGGGGGTGGGGGTGGGGAGGGGATGAAAAGCAAGCAAACAAGCAGGCAGAAGCCCTACAGGTGACAATGGCAGTCTGAATGTGATGTAAGGGAAGCCCTCTTTTTTGTCTGGGAATCAAAACAGTTTGTTGTGCTCACGGATGAGAAGGATCCTAAACTTTTCAGCTTGTCCACTGCTTTTTCTGAACTGCCCCTTTCTGGTGGGCAGTGACCTTTTCTGATCATGTTGTCTGGAACTGACCCCCAGTAAGTCGATTATATTGACTCTCCTGGCCTCTCGGATACTCCCTGTTTGGACGCTGGTCTCCATCATCATGACCACTGCTATTGTTAATGAAAGCAAGACAGTCCCAAAAGCAGCACAGATTCTGCCAAGAGACACCATGTTCAACTGCCAAAGTTAGAAATAGAGGGCCAAAGACACAGACTGGGCAGAGCACAAAGAGGACTGCAGGCACTTAGGCAGAACGCGACCCTCCGTAATCCCCCCACTCAGAGCTTTCTTGAGCTGGTAATTGATGGGTCCAGGTGTCAAGACTCACGTGTAAACTAGATCTGCGTGTAGGTGGAAGGAGACCCTGTGCCCTAGATATCACTAGGCATTGGTGGGGTGGTGAGGAGAGAGGGGGATTCCACATGACAGCCTCCTCTTACTAAATTCACTTCCTTTTGAGGCAAACAACCTTCCTTCCTGGGAGCCAGTGAGATGCCACATCCTCTCCAGCAGGGGGCGTCCAGCATCAGTCCTGTCTTCCCACAGCAGGCCCCAGCTCCCTGCTTACTCCAAAGACCTGGTTTTTCTAATTTATATTTTACTCTTTCCCTGTTGAGCTTGGATCCCAAATTTCAGCTTCTTGGCTAGCATCCCAACCCCCTGAGTGAATACTGCCAAACTCTCCCTGTGGGGTCTCCAGGCCCCTCCCTGGTTCCAGGAATTCTGGCAGTGTCAGTTCACTATGAATGGGTACCCCAGCTGCATGAGGCCATTCCTGCCTGACTCTAGGAATGGCCCTGTCTGGGAATTCCTGCTGCCCTCCATTCCTGCTTACCCAATCAAGTCCCTGTTCTGATATTGCTGAACAAGCCCAAGTTACTACCCCTTTGAACACTGATTTTTCAGTCTAGCTGTTACTTGTTCAGTCAGGGTTGTACTAAGGTATTTCTAGCCCTTACCCTTTCCCAACATCTTGGCTCTTCTCCTCCTCCAGACTGTGCCTCTGAGGTCTCAGCCTGCCTTGGAACTGAGTGTCCGTGGCCTTCAAGTGTCCCCATTGTTGAAAATACAACTCCATCCTCATGTCCTTCTGAAGGTCACCAGAGGCACCATCTGACCGGGAGGCAGCCCTTGCAGCCCCCATGTCTGAATGAGCAGGATAAGGGCCTTTAGTGCTAGACTTGAGCTCAGAGCTCTATCCCAACCAACTCCTCTTGCCCAAGGACAATTAAGAAAAACAACATATTTTTCATTGTTCTGCAGCACACCTTTCCTTTCTTCCATGTCTTCCCCTTCTTTTAGCATTTCCCCTCAAGATTCCTGAGCCCTTTCTCTCCTAGTCCTTCCTTTGCTCAAGGAAAGCACCTTGTCTGGTATACAAGGCTAGGCTAACACATAATGCAAGTAAAGGCTGAAAAACAGGATAGACACAAATCTATATTTGATTTAGTAAATGCAAATGGTGATGGCTGAAATTGGTGTGATGATAGAATATTCAATATGTGGGACTGGATGGCTGTCTAGAAACTTGGGCAAAACCTACATTAGATTCTATGATGGTTTTTAAATATATCTGTTAATTATGACCCTATTCCCTTCAACAGGTGCGACCTAATTCTTCTGCTTAGAAAGTGTAGAGGACTTGCTTCTAATGAATAGAGTGTGTTAGGAGTGATGCTCTGTGATTTCTGGAGGTAGGTCATAAAAAGAATGCGCCTCTGCCTGTCTTTCTCTCAGATTATTTACTTTGGTAGAAACCAGTGGCATGAGGACACTCAAGCAGCCCTGTGGAAATGCCCATGAAAAGGAAACCAATATGCCAGAACTAAATGACTAGCCATGTGAGGGAGCCACTTCGGAAGCAGATCCTCCAGCCTCAGTCAAGTTTTCAGATGATTTCAGCCCCTAGCCTTAAGAGTCTGCCCCAAACATGTGAGCAGAAACAAGCCATCCCCACTGTGCCCTGGCTGAATCCATGACCCACAAAAACCAAAAGAAAATAAATTATAATTAGTTTTTTAAGGCTTTAAGGTTTTTGGTGGTGTATAATTTGTCATCCAGCAATAGCTAACTAATACAGACTCATAACACATACTAAAATTAATTCCAAAATAGATTAAAGATTGATATGAAAACATTCATATAAATGTAGGAGGTGACCATCAGGAGTTCAGTGTACTTAGAAGGAAAATGCAGGGTGAGCAAGTTGACTACATTCACAAGAGCAGCCAGACAATTGGTTGGTCCCTGTGCATGGCTCCTACACCAAGACTTGACCCAGGTCCATGGATGAAACTGACCAGCTTGCCTTGGAAGCAATGAGTGTGGATGCTTGGATGCGTGAGCACATGTGTTAGGCACCATCAGAGAGAAACTGGGAGTCCTAGTACCCAAGGTAAACGGAAACACTTTTTTAAAATGTCATACAAGAAGGAAATATAATCATAATATGTGCTTGGCTCTGCAGAGAACAACTTTTACATACTTATCATAATGTAAACACTGTGAGATTTTTTGTTTTGTTTTGTGAATTTTTGAATTTTATTTATTTTTTTATACAGCAGGTTCCTATTAGTTATCTATTTTATACATATTAGTGTATATATGTCAATCCCAATCTCCCAATTCATCCCACCACCACCACCACACCCCCGCCACTTTCCCCCCTTGGTGTCCATACGTTTGTTCTCTAGATCTGTGTCTCTATTTCTGCCTTGCAAACCAATTCATCTGTACCACTTTTCTACATTCCACATATACACGTTAATATACAATATTTGTTTTTCTCTTTCTGATTTCCTGGGTTTTAACTGTTCAAATCAACCAGAAAGAAACAACAGAATAAATCATTCTGGCTCCAGAACCAACTGTAAAAGTTATTGCCCTTCATAATGAAAAAAATGAAAGAATAGAAAACAAAAGAGAAGAGATGGAAAGCAAAAAAAAAAAAAAAAAAAGATAAAGAAAAGTGTAGAGGAAAATTACCCTCATCTTCCAAAGCGAAGAATCTAAAGAAATCATCTATGTTTGATAAAATAAGAAATACATATATTTTTTGAATTCACAAAGGTAACCAATAAAAGAAGTAAAAATCTCTCATATTGGAATAGGAATGTTATAAAAGTGAGGTAAATCCTTATCCATCATAGCAGTAAATCAATTGCTATATCTAATCTTGATATATAGAAAATATTGGTATAGTAACAGTTTTTTAATGATATGAAGGAAACCATCAGAAGAACTAAGAATAGAAATAGTTAAAAGGGAATGAGTCTGGAGTTAGAGAGAGTTGGGGGCAGGTGTTGTAGTCTCACACTTCAAGAATATCTTTATCATTTGCTTTCTTTAACTATTGAATGCAGTATTTTTTAAAAATTGAACCTTTTTAAAAATTTCAATGTCTTTCCACATTTAATATACTTAAACATATTGCCTTTGTTTTTTCAAGTAGGATGCATTTGTATACCATAATATACACAAACTACTTAATCCTTGCAATAACCTTGTAAGGGAAAAAATATTATCTCTCATTATAACATAGGGAAAGTTAGCTAGAAATACTAACAATTTGCACAGATGACTTAATAAGTTATTGCCTTAAAAGTTATAAATCCTTAAAACGTTGACCATTTCTCACACA